AAGCATTAAAAAAGTAATATCTATGTCTGTAATATATATTTTTGTTCTCTCACAGTTCTTGTTCACATGAGCTCAGGCCTTGGAGTAGGATTCCGTGTTTCAGTCAGCATGTAGTTGACAGTCTTTCTGAGTCTGAAGATTTGTAGTATCACACCTTCTCACATCACCTGGGGATTAAAACCGTAGAATTTCTAACTGCAGTGTGCTTTAGTGGGCTAGCCTATCCTCAGGCTGCAGAGCCCTGTGGCACGGATGGTAATTCCTTCTGGCCATGTTTAGTAATGCTGATTCACCATGATTTTTGTGGATTACTACATGCTCCTTCAAGCAAAGACCTTAGGAATTTGTTTCTTTATCTCAAAGTCACTTCCTTAAGGTTTTTCTCATTATGCTACCAAATTTTACTCTAAAAGTTACTAATTCTAACTATACTGAGTATAAATTCCTTTTCCTAAATCAGCCTTGTCCAGTAGAACTTTTATGCTATCCAATATGGCTGTCACTAGCCACGTGTGGTGATTTATACTCGAAATGTGGGTAGTTGGCTGAGGAACTGAATTTGTGATTTTATTTAAATCTAATCAACTTAAATTTTACTGGCACATGTGACTAGTGGCTCCTGCGTTGGGCAGCAAGACTGGGATTTTCAGATCCTCCCTTTATCGTTAAGCCAGGCCTGTGTCCTTGGCCCCATGCACACGACATGTGTCCTCATCATTTTGTCTTCACTCGCCTAGATTATTTTCTCTCAATTCCTTCAATTAATCGAGATTCTCTTTAGCTTCCATGGGTCAGGGTGAAGCTTACAACCTCTGTGAAATCTTTCCTATAATTTTGCCGGTCTTCCTGTTCTGGCAATGCCCACTCTGTGCTGTTCTAGTTAGGATACATAAATGAATGAACGAATGATTCAGCATGGATGTTGATACGTAGTTATTTGTTGTGTTACAGTTTATTTTGTTGTTGTTTTTCATATGAATTTATTCCATTCCCAAACCAGTTTTTCTCTCTCTGAGGATAGGACAGTGTCTTATATAATTTTATATTTCTTCTGGCACCAAGCAGGTGGTGAAGCCCCAGAAAATTCCTACTGAAAGCTCTGCTGATTGACAGATGGAGTGCAAAAGAAACACAAATCTGTACCTTCGATTCTCTGTCATGATTATTCTGCTCAGTCAACAAGTATTTGTGCAATATTCATGGGATTCATGTGGGTAAACTTTGAGGGCAGGCCATCTTCTTGGATGCAAGGACTAAGACTGGATAAAAAGAAGGATCATCAATATGAGTGTAAACTATGGTATAAGGTGTGCAGAATTCTAGAGACAGTGGTTAGGGATTGTGAAGATGCTTGGAAAATAGCTGTGAGAAACTCTTTCCTGTGGAAGGAAACCCTTGAAATGCTGGTCAAAGAATGGAAGTTTATTTCACAAATTCAGAATTTGTGACATTTGGAATGGAAATGAGAGGCAGGAAGTTGTTTCTTAGAAAAAGGCACTTGAAAAAAGGTCAAAGTGGAAGGACCAGGTGTGTGAGATCAACGAAGTGCTTTTTCGTCAATATCCTATTATATTCACTTTAGGAGCAAGTTAGGACTTTTGGTCATTTACTTTTGAAAAGGTTCTAAAATGTAGCAAAGTGCATCCCTATTTGCACTGTATATGTAACAATTGAACATCTCTACAACGGAACTTCTTCATGTGTAATACTAAACTTACGAGTTTCCTTCCAAAACTTCACTTTTACAGTGTTGTGATAATGAAGATGCTTAGAGAAGGACACTGAATATGGTCAAATTATTACTTTATAATAGTATTTATGCATATATATAGTGCTATGTACCATGCACTATTCTTAGTACTTTATTAGCCCGTTTAATTCTTCTAATTACTGTGAGTAGAC